CCTAATCCATAGGAAGAATTCTTTCTCTGGAGAATAGCAAGCCAACTTCTCTACAGGAGTGATGTCAGGTCCCAGGCATGTCATGGGCTCTGCTCAGGATTTATTTTAACAGGTGCTGTTGTGTGGCTAGCTGAGGAAGGTGCTGTGGACAAATGCAGTTTCCTAACATTGGGTCTCTAACAGGGGACCATATTTGCAACTGGCAAAATGAACAGATTGTTAAATGTTCAGTCCAGACTGGACTGAACTTACTCGTTGCTTAAAAGCTTCCATAAGAAGGAAGGATGGATTTCTTACTTTTTTTTTTAAAGTACAGAAAGCTAATTTTATCGTATTTTCTTTTCTTTTTCTATGTGGTTTACACCCGTGTGTGTGTGTGTGTGTGTGTGTGTGTGCGCCCGCACACATGTGTTAATGTCAGAGGCAGACATTGGGTCTCTTCTGTCATCCTCCACCATTTTTTTTTTTTGAGACATGGTCCCTCTTGAAACCTGGAGCTTACCATTTTAGCAAGGCTAACTGGCCCTTGACCACTGGGGGATCTGCTTGCTCTCCACAACCCCAGCACGGATATTATAGGTACATGCACAACTGGAGATCCAGACTCAGTTCCTCATACTCTCATGGCACACTCTTCACTGTCTCTCCAGCCCTAACTTTATTGTGTTTTCTTTTGTTATAATTGGGATTTCAAGATTTCAGAATATTTAGGATATTTAGGGCAGCCATGAAGAAGAGACTAACTTAGATGGATGTCGCAGATGTTCACCTGCTTTGTGTTTGATTAGTCCTCGTTTCTTGTCAGGGGTGAAAGCCTGTCTGCACAGCAAAGTACGTGAACAGGAAGAAAAGTATGAAGTTCCTGGAGGTCCACAGAGGAGCAGGCTCAACAGAGAGCAACTGGTATTTTTCTTTTACATACTCTTATGGCTTCACATTATTATCACCATCATGGAAACTTTGCCCTTTCAGCCAGTACAGGTGACTGATTAAAATTTTAATTGTGCTTATTTCAAGCACTTGATTCTGAAAGATGATCACAGTGTGCAGTAAAATCCAGAAGGTAATAATTTCATACTGTTAATGGATTTTTGGCATCTTGAACATTCCCATAAAGCTTCAGAATCTGAGGTAAATCTCAGATACAGGAAGTAGCTTGAAAGAAAAGTTACAGCTGCTGCTCGGATTTAGTTACCATATGTTTTTATTGTCACATATTGCAGTTTTAATGGACAATATTCCATTATTCTGTCAATATATAAGTATGGTAGAAATGACAAAGACATTTTCTAATTGGATCAGTAGCCATGACTTCATAATCTGTTGCGTACTGGCAGTGCATCTCTGGAATCCTGAGGCCACACTCCTACCATGGCTGCCCAGGAGCCCTTCGGTATCATCTAGAGACCTGAATGTAGAGGAACAGCACTGAACTGTGTGTGGGAAAAACGCTGCCTTCGTAGTTGAAATCCAGCCTGGCATTACTAATGCTTACTTCAACTATCTTAGAATTTAGAGAGATTTAAATCCTACCCATGTGGACAAGCATCCTGATGGAGGAAATTTGATGAAAAGTTGTGGTTTTGTTTTTTTTTAATTTGGACAGGGTCTCACTATATAGTACAGGCTTTACTCTTTCTTGGTTAGCCTTAGTGATAGGATTATAGGTGTATACTGCTATGCTTGGCTACAGGATGTTGTTGTGTTTTGTTTTTGTTTTGTTTTTCACTACAAAGCACATCTGAAATTTTAGGAAAGTAAAAGGAATCAGGCAGTGGCTGAATATTAAATGAAAAAAATCATAAGTAAGAAACTCTTATTTTCATGGCTGGAGAGTTAAGTGCATTGGCTGTTCTTCCAGAGGACCTGGACTCAATTCCCAGCACCCACATGGCAGTTCACAACTGTCTGTAACTCCAGCTCCAGGGGATCTGAAACCCTCATACAGACATACATGCAAGCAAAACACCAATGCACATAAAATAAGAATAAATAAATCATTAAATTAAAAAAAATAAAAACCTCTTATTTTCTAAGTATACTTCCTAATCTACTTAGTATGATTAAAGTACAATTTGCACCAGCCCCTCATTAGGGCACTTCTTACTGACTCCTGACTTGTTTTATGTCTTTCATTCATATATAGTGTTTTAAAATATTTTGATCTACCTCTAACAATTGTTTTCTTGCCCTTTCAGTTGCCAAAGCTGTTTGAAGGCTGCTACTTCTTTTTGGTGGGAAACTTCAAACATCATCCAAAGGACGACCTCCTTAAGCTCATTGCTGCAGCAGGAGGCAAGATGCTCAGTAGAAAGCCCAAGCCAGACAATGATGTGACTCAGACCATCAACACAGTTGCATACCATGCCAAACCTGATTCTGACCAGCGCTTCTATACCCAATACATCGTCTATGAAGATCTGTTTAATTGTCGCCCAGAAAGGGTTCGGCAGGGCAAAGTCTGGATGGCTCCCTCCACCTGGCTTATCAGCTGTATAATGGCCTTTGAATTGCTGCCTCTTGACAGCTGAGTGTCATGCATGAACATTTTAAGCTGAACATGCATAGTTTATGAGAATGCAGCCATTGTGATGTGTTTGATGATTCGAGTTTTTATGGATAGGTAGAACCACTGTATTTTCCCCCTTTGAATTGCTAAATAAAACAATTGATGCTAGATTAGGGATTCATTTAGATGCCAAAATTGCTTTCAGGATTTTGTATTCTCTTGAGGTTAGGGCTGTATAGTCTTCATGAACCATGCATGAGGCATGGGGTTCCACACTGGGAACTGCAAGGAAGTTTTCATTTTACAAGTGGCCTCTGATTTTGGATTGATCATGTTGTCTTTCAGTTTTATCATCATCTATCAAAGATTAATAATTAGTGAGATGACATCAGAACTACTTGTTAAATGGTAAGTGGTCTATCATTAACATAGCATCTTTTAGTTAACGCTATCATCAGATGATTTATCCTGCCTTTGTTATAATGATAATAGAGCATCTATCTAAGTTTGCCACTATAGTTTAAAAGTTCTATTTGCAGTTATCTTTTTCTTACATTGTATTTTAGTTTCTTATATTTTCTTGGCCTTCATGTTTATTCATTTTTAAAATCTGTGTACACATTAGGAAATCATGATTTGAAACACTGGATGTTAGTGGCAAAATCATCAGTATGCTTGTGTGCATGCTTTTATTGTGCACATTTGCTGTCTGTCTACTGTGCATTTGTGCACACCTCTTCTCCGTAACTTATTTTAGTGTCAGTGTTTCTTAGAAGGTCTTGCCAGTTTAGAAAACTCAACGTCAATTCATTAGATTAGAAGAAGCATTTCGTTTATGGTAAATCTTTCTGAACTAAAGTCTCTGTAAGGATTAATCCCCTCCCCCTTCCTTCTTTCTTTCCTTCCTTCCTTCCTTCCTTCCTTCCTTCCTTCCTTCCTTCCTTCCTTCCTTCCTTCCTTCCTTCCCTTTCCTCCTTTTCTCCTTCCTTCCTTTTATTTGTGATGCTGGGTATGGAAGTCAGGATCTTATGCATGCTGGGTAGTTACCTACCACAAAACTATCCTCAGACCAGGTTTGATCTTTCCTCCTCTTCCTCTTCTTCTTCCTCCTCCTCTTCTTCTTTTGGTGGGTGAGGGTTGGAGTGGGGGCCTTGTACAGGCCAGGAAACTGAGCTACACTCCCAACCCTGTATTTATTTTGAGACAGACTTACCAAGTTATCCAAGTTGCCCTTGAATTCACTCAGTTTTAATTTCTTTATAAAGTTTTTAGGTTGATGAGTGTGCAAAAGTTGGAGATGGATTGATTCCTAACATTTTCACCATATCCTATACTCAGGCCATAGAAGTAAATATTGAGGTATGAATGAGAAGAGCTTCCTCTCGATATGGAAGCAGCCAAGGCAGAGAAAAAGGGAGGGCACTGTGTGAGCATGTGCACACTGGCAGCGTATCCTCTCTATCCTGCATGTCCTCATTGAGAGTAGACAGGATCTATATTCAGCTTCACTGAGTAGGATTAAGATATTGCAGACACAGTGTTTCCATAGGGTGGCTCTTCAGTGCGTCAGCGGGGCTGCTTCGGAGAGGTAAGGACTGAGTTCATGTAGGAGACACTTTGGCCTGTTTGCTGGACTTAAAGTCACACAGCGGAGCCATCCATTCCCATCAGTGCCTTGGGATGACTCGTTGTGCTGCCCTGCCGTTTGCTTTGGAGCTGCTCATCCTGTCTCGCCTACCATCCTTCTAGCTCCTTAATGCCTTTCCTTTCCACGCGGCCTCCTGCTTCCCAGAACTGGCATCAGCCTCTGATTGCAATAGATCCACTTTTGAAATAGCTGCGTAACTGTTGGACCATTACTCTCCAGGTAGAGTTCCCCATTGGTCACTCTAGCTACGGCATCCAGAGTTGGTTTATGTTAAGCTTTAGTACTTGATGTTGTTCTTCCTTCTCTACAAACGCTTATAATTTTTATTTTTCCCTAATGGAGTTAAACTTGACTCTTATTTAGCATAAATCATTAAAATTATTTGTGCTTGTATCTGTGTCTTCTGTAAAAATGACTTATTTCCATATTGAAGAGTGAGACTCAACATGACTCCTGAAGAAGTCTTCCAGCTGTGATTTTGTATGTTTCATAAAGCACAAAGTGCATGCATTAGTTACTTTTCTCTGCTTTTCTCCTTCCTAACTATGAGAGAAGATTATTCTGGCTTTCGATCCTGGGTATAGTCCATCCTGGTGGGGAAATTGGGCATCAAGAGTTGTAACCAGCTGCTATATCGATTGGTAGGAAGCAGAAACATGAATTCTGGTGCTCAGCATGCGCTCTCTCCCCCTCACTCCCACTTCCTCCACCCCCCCATCCAGTTGAAGCCCTTAACCAATTAAATGATGCCATGCCATCCATATTCAAGAAAGGCCTTTCCACTGTACTTAACCTAATTTAGACAGTCCCTCACAGACATGCCCAGAGACTTTTCTATTAGATGATTCTGATCCTGTCAGACTGACAGTGTTAACCATCACAGGTGGCTTTTGGTGCTGGCAAATTTCTGTTTGAGTGGTGATGTGGGAGAATTGAAGTCACTGGCTTATTCTGCCTTGGCCAGGCTTAAACGATTCATGACTGGGATGCAGCCCACAAGGAGGCTCCTATACAGATTTTGAAGTCAGACAGTCTGGTTTTGTTGTTTGTTTTCTAGTTTAGCTGCCTAAGCCGCCAGTTGCAGAGTTGGAGGTAGACTTTCCTTTTCGTGAATCTCAAGTGTTCTGAGCATAGGGCAACTCAAGATCCCCCTTCAGGACCACCACGAGTTAGTTGATGGCTCAGAGACGTCTCTAGGGGCAGCTTAGGAAGAAGTAGCCCTGATAGCATGGCTTGTCTCTGACTGGAGTAGATTGGCTGTTCTTTCTTTCCTACATTTGACTGCTGACTGCTCCTTGCTTTACTGGAATAAATCTTACCAACGAGAACCTGCACGTCTGGTGAATTTCTTGTCTGGACTCTCTGTCCCATTCACACTGACCAGCTGCTCCCATCTGTAGCCTTTTCTACACATTCCACGAAAGTCCTCTTGAGCTTTCATCCCTAAATGTAAGCATTGTTGATATACAGAGTTCTTAGACTCCCACATTGCAGGAATGGACCATAGGAAGGCCTGCGTTATCCATTTTGGGCATGGTACCACAGAACTCTCTTAGCCTGAGCTCTCGGATACCCTTGGATAACTTTACTACATACATGCATTAAAGAAAAGAAACGGAAGAGGAGCTTGTTTCTAACTTGATCCTAACTCACTGCTTTGTGAGACACATTGTGGGGAACCATTCATTTACCTTCTGGCTAAAGTAATGTGACCTAGATGATCCACTCTGAGTAGAATCTGAAGGACTTCTGAGTTTAACTTAGCTTTGGGTTTCTCAGAAACTGCTAGTAAGTGTTAGTTACTGTAGAAATTTTGAAAAGAAAAATAAAATGGAGGGAGTTAGGAGTGGAGAGATGGCTCATGGGTTAAGTCCCCGGGCTGCTCTTGCACAGGGTCTGGGGACAATGTCCAGTACACTCATGGAAGGTCACAGCTGTCTGTAACTATGATTCCACAGGATCCGATGCCTTCTGGCCTCCACAGGCACTCTGCAAACCACACCATGTTGGTGCACAGACGTATATATTCAGGCAAACATTTTTAAAAATAAAATCTTTTTTAAAATTTTCAGGAAACAATTGTCCCAAACCTAGGATTCCTAACTAAGTTTTATGTGACTTTTTATAGTGCTAAAAATCAATGAACACTGTCGAAAGGGCCATGTACATAGTCCACTCACCACAGCCTGGCCACGCTACTGTCGCTTTTGTTTAGGATTTAGAACTGCAGAGTTAACCCATTCCTTACAATAACAATTGCCACACCTGCTTTGTTCTCTTCTTTAAGCATGCATATGGTCTGCCCTCAGTATCACTGGGAATTTGTTCCAAGAATCCCCTTCATTGAAATCTACAGGTGGTTAAGTGCATCATAGAAAAAGATTGAATGATGTAATGTTTGTGTGTGCTCCTGTATGCTTTACATTGTCCTTAGACTAGCTACCATGCCAATACAGTGCAAGTATCATGAAAATACTACAAGGATGATGGCAGGAGGGAAGAAAAAACGCATAGAACAGATGGAATGGTTTTTTCTAAGTGTTCTGATCTGTTGTGGATACAGAACTCAAAAGTGGAAAACAGACAATAGCCCTCATAATTATGGGATTAACCTTGTATTCACATTTATTTCCTATATTGTCGCATATATGATTTCAACTCCCTGCCAATAGAGTGTATCAGTATTTAATCTGGTCTCTGTTATTGGCTGTCTGAACTGTTTCTTTACAAATTAGTTAAAAATATTTTACAGTAATTTTTATGGAGAAAATATTTTCAGTGTGTCAGTGTAAGTCAATGTCTCATCTCTACAGAGCACACTGCACATCCTTCACATTTAAATTAGGTCCTAAAGTTAGGCTCAAGATATCAGAATGAGAAAATGAGCCCTATTGATTGCTATAATGTTACTAGGTGGTGAGATTTGGGGTTTAAGGCACAAGCCATTACAGCTTTTATGGGTTACAGGTGTGGGAGTAGGTTCAGCCTTTTAGTAGTAATTTGAGATGACCTTGGCTTGTGTAGAACTTGAATTGAGGAGCAGACATGGAACATCAGAGGTTCACCCTAAGTCATGCTGCTCACTAGTGGTAGGGTCTGCACAGCTGTCTATTAAAGCGACATTTGCTATGGGAGTCTGTGGGCTGCCATATACTCCTGTGGGCTCACTGGACTGGGCTGGGACAATGGAAGCAGAAATGGTATTCCACATTTGCTATAACCACCTCTTCTACCTCAGTAGACATTAATCACCATGCTTTGGTTTTGAGACCAAACTGACCTTAACATCTCTCAACTCTTCTTTTATTCATCTGCAACTCATTGGTCAAATTGGTTTATTAGCTGGAACTTAACCCTCTAAAGCGGTTCTGTATCCACTACTGTAGTACTTTTGAGTTCTGTATCCACAACAGATCAGAACACTTAGAAAAAAACCATTCCATCTGTTCTATGCATTTTTTTCTTCCCTCCTGCCATCATCCTTGTAGTATTTTCATGATACTTGCACTGTATTGGCATGGTAACTAGTCTAAGGACAATGTAAAGCATACAGGAGCACATACAAACATTACATCATTCAATCTTTTTCTATGATGCACTTAACCACCTGTAGATTTCAATGAAGGGGGTTCTTGGAACAAATCAAACTTCCTAATGCTGCCAACTTTTAAAACAAGTTCCTCATGTTGTGGTGCCCCCCAACCATAAAACTATTTTAATAGCTACTTCATAACTAATTTTGCTACTATTGTGAATTGTAATGTAAATATCTGATATGCAATCCCTGTGAAAGGGTGTTTAACACCCCAAAGGGGTCATGACCCACAGGTTGAGAACTGATCACCTAAGCTAACCCATGTCAAGTAAAACAGTACAACTGAGAAAATTCAGTTGAGTATGGTCAGCATACAACGTATATAAAATCTTTTAAAAATAATTAAAAATCCTCTGGTATATGTTAACATTGATATGTTTATTACTTTCTTTACATTGGAATAAATAAAAAATAAGAAAAGACTGACAGCTACTTGTGGTGCATGCCTTTAATGCTATCACTGAGGATACAGAGGTAGGTGGGTCCCTCAGTTCTAGAGGCTAGCTGGGTTCACATACTGAATTCCAGGTCAGACAGGGTTGCATAGTGAAACCCTGTCTCAAAAACAGAAAACAAACCAACAATAAAATGGCCAGCAAGCTGGCTCTCTGAAGCATTTGTCAGGCATGCCAGAGGACATGAGCTTGGTTCCCAGAAGCCACATGATGGAAAGAACCCACTTCCCACTGGATGGGCATCATGCTAAGTATGTGTACACATGCACAGCAAATAAATAAAAACATAACGATAATAACTCCAGTCAATTCCAAGTGGCTCACTCAGTTCAAAGCTAGTTTTAACTGGGAGCTAGTGTCTATAGTTGGAGAGGCACGTCTACATATGTGCACATATATACCCTCAAAGATTTTTGGAAGTGAACAGGAAGAAACGTGGTTTACAAAAACTCTCCAGGTGTGTTTTGTGCCTTTAGTTTCCACAGTTGCAAGTTGCAGCTTTAGCATCATTTACTTTTGGAATTACCTATAACATGGTTACACACTTTAGAAATTGTAGGATTCATTCAAGCACCTTATGCAATGCAAAAGTGTGTGTGTGTGTGTGTGTGTGTGTGTGTGTGTGTGTGTGCGCGCGCGCGCACGCGCGCGCACGCACACGCGCGCGTGCGCACACACATGCACATGCTTCTCTCTGAATATAACCAAATGTGTATGTGTGATTCCCTAGGACACACATTTCTGAGACAAAGCTCTGTGGGACCTGCAGTAGTATAATGCTGTGCTTTCGGGTCTCTGCTGTTCTTATTCTCATGGCAGCATCTCCCTTCTCTTCCTGCTCAAGTCCTGAGCCTGGTGATAAATTCAGATCGCTTTCCTAGCCATGGAAGTACCAATTAGCATGTGATGTTTAATTTCTGTTAAAAGGATAAATTCTGGAAAGAAAAGTCTACAGAATTGTTTCTGTTGCCCATCTGTGACAGAAAGCATGAAGGGCAATTAATTGACTTTCAGTAAGTACTCTTATTTAGCTTGATGCTGAGATTCATGTGTGGTTATACATATGCATCTTATCCTTTTCCTTAAAATGTAGACCTGGGGTTTACATTTTAAAAGGAAATTGAATAAGAATCTGACATTGATTGACTGAACAATTCATCCACTGACTCATTGAATATTTATTGAGCATCCACTGGGTACCGGGCTTTAAGTAAGTCATGAACACAGCCATTACTGGGTTTCTTGTAATCTAGTAAAGAGCCAAAGGAACCAACTTGACTGCACAGGAATCACTCCTGACAAGACAGACCCTTGTACTATGTAAGAAGAACAGCTTGGAAA